GGCTTGTAGCATTTTATCAAAATCCCAGCAACCAGGCCGGACAGGATGATGCCATCTTAAGAGTTCAGTCAGGCTTCATGAAGTACCTAAATGGCCTTCACCTATAGCAAAGGGCATCATTTAACTTTAGTCAAAGCTGCACAGTATGTTATCTAGAGGAACCCCTTACTTGCATAGGCAATTGTTAGGTAAAGCCAAACTAACCCTTTAAATGAAAGCTGAGTGCATCTAAAAGCACAATGTATTTGTCAATCTCTACAAGCACAAAATGGTGTACCGCGATCACAAAACTTATCTTTCTTCTCCTAGGTCAGCACAGAGCAGTTACTTGGAGTACACCTGTCATAACCATATCTGCTTGAGCGTTCAGAAGCCCAGAAAACCAGAGAGACTGTAATATGTCAGTACAGACTTTAGCATAGAAAGGCTTGCCCCCTGTGGCTCTGAGGAAGAGAGACAAGTCCTCGAAACAGCCTGTTGGAGGTCCAGAGTTCCCATTACGGACAGACACGTAGTGCAGATTGGACAGAGCTGTTCTTTCATGATGTGTCTGACTGTATTGTCGTTTTGTGAGTACAATACCTACTTTTATCATTAAATAAATTCATTTTTTAAGGTAATGCTCTAGGCTGGTGTGCCCTCGGTGTGTTTTTCTCTACTCAATAACCATACCTGCTTGAGCATTCAGAAGCCCAGAAATCCAGAGAGGCTGTAATATGTCAGTACAGACTTTACCATAGAAAGGCTTGCCCCTTGTGTCAGCTTACTATTGGTAAACCACAGTATTTGGTAGCCTAATTGAATACCAGCAAGCTGCAGAGTGGGTCATGTCTTGACATTCTTGGGCTTATTTACGAAAGCTGCATGGTGCAAAAATCCAGTGCAGCTCTGCATAGAAACAAATCAGCTTCCAGGTTTTATTTTTAAAGCTTAATTGAACAAGCTGAGTTTAAACGCGTACTGGCTACCATGCACAGCTGCACCAGATTCTGAGTGCACCGGTTTTAGTAAATTTCCACCTTTAATTCCATTTTATTTTTTGCAATGGTACCCCTCCCCATCCATGATTCAAATTCCCAGAGAACTCAATATGCTCGGTGAAGATATGTGCAGGTATTTGATGCAAATCCCAATGTTAGCCTAATAAGCTAACAAGGGCGATAAGTTTACTTAAAAGTAGGTTTATACTGTAAACCTAATACCACTTAAAAAAAAAAAAAATCCCCTCCCAAGTAATCCTAACACCAATAAAGGAAGGTTACAGATTTATATAATTCCCTTGAAACATTTGTATTCTTCTCTTTCCTGGATTTGCCTTTGGTCATACGACCCTTAGAGAAAGCGAATATTACAGTTCAGGCTGAGTTGGTAAATGGCTGCATATTAGATCTAGCTGAGCATAACTTTTATGCACCATGCAGTTATCGACGGGTTCAGATGACAATCACCTAACATCTATAGGTAGCTTATTACAAACCATACACGTTCATTTTTTAAAAAAATTTTAAATATTAAAGCAACATACTACCACCCACACCATAAGTGTATATATAGTGTATGTGAGCGGGTGTTTTGATCTTGCTGAAGTGACACAAAAATGAGTTTTGGGGGGTCTTTTTCTCCATGCAAGCCAAGAAAAATATAGAAGCAGCTTGAAGAAACTTGGAAAATGGTCAAATGTAATTCAGAAGGTCAAGAGCACCTGTGAACTATCTCTGAATGTTCTCAGAGGCATATCACAGTGATACTGTACCTAAACTGCTTTCAACTAATGCACTCCTCCTTTCCTCCTTTCTTTCTCTATCAGCTCATCCCCCACAGCTATTACCCTTTGTATAACTTGATTCCTCTTAGATTGTAAGCTCTAACGAGTAGGGCCCTCCGATTCCTTTTGCACCAAATTATATTGTTACTGTAATGCCTGCCTTAATTTTGTAAAGCACTGCGCAAACCAGGGTGGATAAAATTCAATGATTTTTTTTTAAAAAAAAAAATTAAAAATCAGATTTTTTTAAATAAAATGCTTTTTGAGGAAAATATATTACCATCCAAAGGTTATTCCATCATGAAATAAAGATTTGTTTTTTAATTATGTAGAATAAGGCTGTATATGTTTAATTTTTTTTGGTAAATGAATTCCATTAATCCATTCACAATGTCATGCTCTTCCAGAGGTTTTTGTAAGATTGGGGCAGTTTCTTTTGCAGTTCTCAAAACTGAATTTGACTCAGCGGAGATGATCACATGTCTCTTCTTCACAGCAAAAATGTTATAACATGAACAGAGTTAAGAAAGACCTTAATCCTAACTTCTACAAACCTATGAATACAGAATCAACCCCTTCAGTGCTAAGCTTCAAGAAGTTCAGTGAACAGAATAGAAACAATATTTTTCTGATTGTTTGGAGTGGAATAGATCTGCACAAGAAGAAAGTGAAACTGTGAGCAGGAAGGGGCTGACAGTCTAAGTTTCTTAAAATATATATATTTTGCTTAGCCAAATTAGTTAACAAACATGGATGTTTGTTTAAGCAAATAAAATATGCTGGAATGTTATTGTTTCAGTTGAATAAATCTATTTAAATTGTTATTATTAAGGTAATGATTATTTTTCTCCTTCCTAAGTACAACAGAAAAGTTGTCCAAATATGAATGATTAACCTATTAAACTGGGGATAAAAAAAACGAATATGAAAAGTTGTTATTCTAAAAATCTTCATCTACTTGCATATTAAAGTTATACCAGCAAGAATTAGTCTTTATGTAGAAAACTATGATTTAAATCAAGCCTTACTGACTAGTGGTTTAAATCGTGATTTAAATCAGTTTGATTTCAATCAAATCCACCCTGGCGCAAACTGTTGACGCTATATAAATCCTGTATAATAATAATAATCTAAAATTATTGGCCAATTGCTTTTAAAGCACACTGCATTTGTTCACCTACATCAGGGGTTCCCAACCTCAATCCTCAAGTCCCTTTAGACAAAACAGATGTCAAATACCATGCCATTGAAGTTAAAACACCTATGCAAAGTGAAGGAAACCCTGAAAACAAGACATGCTCAGAGTAATCTAGGACCAAGGGTTGGGAACCACTGATCTACACAAACCTTTAGACTTTCTATAGAATAGATGCGGAGGTTAAAGAACTCAATGCAACAGAAACGTTCTACAACACAACAGCAGCATACAAAAACACAATTAATCAGCTACAGGTATGTAACACATAGCTACCAACATATGCGATATTTATAATAGTCTTTGTTTTTTTACAAACTATATATACATTCCTATGATATTATCATGATCAGTTATTACATTTAGCAAATATTTATAGGACTGAGGACCGCAAAAATAACATCAGATCATAAATCAGACTCTGGGCTTTGGACTAGCAGCAAAGTCAAACCATCTGTAGCACAAAAGTGAGTAACATCTTAAACATTTTCAGTCCACCAGATGGCATAAAACAGCTTTGTTCCTCTGACAGTAAACACTAAGGGATGGGGCACACTTTTCATTGCTTTCCAGAAAAAGAGCATGAAAGCGTTTTTTTGCGCAAGGGGGCCGGGGGTATTTCAAAAGATTCACATTTGGCCCCTTCTGTCGAAAAAATCTGCTTGACAGTAATTAACCTCATGTGGACTGAGAGACTTGGCAACACTCATACAATTCCTAATAAAAAAACCTTCAAACAAGCACGGAAACAAACTACAATGAAACATTAAAAACCAAACAAAAAAATTACATTTAAACAAGTTGCAAGTTTTATTGGAAACTGATAAATGTTACCCAACTTATGTTTAGTACAGAAGGTTGCAACAACTTTGTGATGAGTAGAACTTAATAAAATGTCACTTGTGACATTTCAATAAAGTTCTAACAAAAATTGGTAATTAGTGAAATGTTTCGGGATTGATCAGCTTGGAATTCCCAGGTGTTTTTCATTTATTTTATTAAAGCTGAATTCCAGGATTGATCTGTATTGCATACCTACAATGGTCCAGCTTGGCATAATGTAAGCATAGATATATCTTAACTGATAGAGCACTGGGGAAGCAGACATTCATTGTAGCAGTTAGTAACTATATAGATATTTGTGATCTTCCAGGTCCTCCTGGAGTTCTGTGCAAGCGGCTTTACCTCTGCAGACAGATTACAGAGGGGAATGGGGTCGCTCACTCAACACAGTCACCATTTATAGGACACTGCATTTTTTAAATGAAGACAAGGCATTCTCTGACTGGACAAGGTAGATATCATGATGTCACCACCCCCTCCTTTCTATCTTGTCCAATCAGATAAAGCTATGTACTTCCAGAAAAGAAGGTGCAGAGTGGAAGCTGCTCATGCAGAAGGAAAGCAGGACCCGGAAGTTTGCAGCTATTACTGTAGTAGTGCTGACAGATTTTCAGCTTCCCCAGACGTCCATCAGTTATGAGATATGCATAGTTACGTGGGTTACAAGCTTGACCAATGTAAGTATGCAATACAGATCCTGGAGTTCAATTTTAAGGATTAAAACTTGGGAGCTTCACCTTGAGCATTTGTCCTGTTGACGTTCATCATCAGAACAGAAAACCATTAGAAAACCAAAATTTTACAGTGCTCATCAAGTAGCAAGGGGGAAATTTTCTAATGGGGAACAACCGTTCCAGTGATGGCTTGCTAAAAGTGGATTTTCCTTTAATTTGGTGAGATTTAGGCCCCTTGCACACAGGTTGGAAACTGCCAGCAGATCCGCCTGCTCAGCGGGGTATTTGTCAGCTGATCCCCACTGATCAGGCAGAACAGACATGGACACAGCCCACTTTCCTCTATGGGCAGTCAAATGTAAATGGATCTCCTGTCTGTTTACATCCAACTGTCTTCCAATCCTCTAGACGGATGGGGAACAGATCCCCATCCATCTGTTTTTAGCGGATCGGATGCAGGTGAGTATAAACCAGGGCTTAAAATTTCAAGTCCTGAGCTACTAGCCAGGCCTTAGAGTTACTCGCCATTAACAAACACACACACACACAGATACCTGTACACACACACAGAGACATGTACATACACACACACAGAAACACACACACACACACAGACGTACATACGTACAGATGCACACACACGCACAGAGACATGTACACGCACAGGCACGTACAGACACACATAAACATAGTTACATGTACATACACAGAAATACACACGCACAGACATATGCACAAACAGACACGTACACACAGACACATGTACGTACATACACACAGACACATGTACATACATACACACAAACACACACAGACACATGTACAGATACACACATGTACATACACACAGACACATGTACAGATACACACATGTACATACACACAGACACATGTACAGATACACACATGTACACACACACACATGTACAGATACACACATGTACATACACACAGACATGCACATGCATACACAGACACACACAAACACACACACACACCCTATAAAAAGTTGCAGTACTACTTGTTGTTCACTCACAGAACCAGGTACTGCACTCTAGGGGGAGGCAGAGAGCACAGCACACTCCTTGCTTTGCTTTCACTGCGCTCAGCTATTGAGCAGTCCTGACAGCTCCCAGTGCCAATGACAGATCCAGCCTGAGCTCCGAGCCTGCTCAGCAAGACGGCCCTGGGGGACACACTCACCCCCACCATAATTTCCACTTGCCATTGGTGAGCAGGCGAGTAGAAATTTCAAGCCCTGGTGTAAACTGACACGTCCGTTTACAACCACCGCTCCATAGGGGCAATGGATGGTCCAATCAGTTCCACCTGAAAATTTGACCCAATCTGTCCGGCTTGTGAGAGGGGCAAGAAAATGCCAATAGATGGATCAAAATTCTTCCGAATCAGCATGGACCGCTGTCAGAATACAATGGAATAGCAGGGAGGATTCCTCCATCCAACTCAAATGTGTGAATGGGGGAATTTTTTTTTTTTTTTTTTTTTTTTTAATAACCATCAATGGCCAGACTAACTTTTGCATACAAATGTGTCTCCTGGAAATCTAGGAATAAACTCGCCTAAAGGACAGATAGCAAAAAAAAAAAAACAAAAACACATTTCCTACTATAAAAAAGACTACTACCTTCAATCAGAGAGAGCCTGTCCAGTGGACCTAAGAACGATAAGAAGATCAGCAAACACAACCTTGTGCCCCATATAGAACGCAAAGCCTTTATACCGTTTGTAATCCATCTGCCCCCCCCCCCCCCCCAAAAAAAAAAAAAACACATACTATAACAAAATTATACTTAGAAGAAAAAAAAATAACATGTACCAGTATTATTTAAATTGACCTCTTTCATGTGAATATTTAAAAAAAGAAACACACACACTAAAAAGATTATAGCTCCAGTGTAAGCTCTGAATTTCAGAGAGCTAGAAGTAAGCTGTGAAGATTTTCTAGCATTTTGTTTTGCAACGCAAGAGATAAATAGCAACTTTTTAAATCCATGCACTATCTTTGTAGAAGGTGATTAGGTTTTCTTCCAGTTTGTAGAGATAAGGGCATTTAACTGTGGAGAAGACATGAGTATAAATTTGGTGGAATGACATAAAGGGAGATAGGAGACAGGTCTGCTCAGGGAGATAAACCAGGAACCATTGGGGACCGTGTTGTCTTCCTGTTGAGTTATTAATGATATCATATAAAGCAATAATCTTTGGTATGTGTGCAGATGTAAGAATTATTGGCCTTTTTCAGCACCCTGTGCCATACCATCCGCACATTACTTCACACAACCCTTGTGTATAACGAGAAAAGGAAAAATATACTTAAAGAGAAGCTATGCTGCACTGTCATTAGAAGTACGGTATGTAATTATTGTAGTACCTGAAGATGTGTCATGAAAATTACACATGCCAAACAACTGTGCCTGCAAAAGGACAGTGTAAATACCTCTCCTACAGCCACCCACTGCCAAACTTTACGCCAATGAAATGGAAAATCATATTGGAAACATCCAGGAGTATCAATCTCCTGTGTCCCATGCATCACTGCTGAACTGTCTGACACAATTTCTTCTGTGTTTTTAGTTGTTTGCTGAGAGAAGAGCTATAAAGGCTGGCAATTGATTTTTTTTTTTGTGACCAGCCAGAGGGCAGATCGAAAAAAGAAACAAACATATCCCTCCATCCACACAAGTCAGGTGGGATGGAGGAATCCACCATGCTGTGCCATTGTATTTGACACAAGAGACTCCTCCACTGTCAGATTACACTGATCAGCAGCTGCAGCCACTGACTGAATGAAAGCTTTCCAACATTCCTATTCGACAGAAGTTAATAACTAGATTTATGTCAAGCAGAAACAGCCAAAGACAGATCAAAATTCCAAGTCCCTGGTGAACCGGCTGAATTTTGGTCCATCTACGAGTAGCTTTAAAAGAGAAATATGGTTTTGTTTTTTTTTTAATCTTGCCTAGGAGGATGCAGCATCGATCCGACACTGCCTCCCCCCGCCAGCTCTAAGAGTGAGAACTGAGTGATCAGCCACTAGCAATCAACACTGTGTTCTCCCTGCAGGGGCGGTTCCCCACATTAATGGTGCTAACAGAAATCAGGCTTCTTGGTTGTTTTTATTTTATTACATGCTCTGTATATAAGTTTGTTTTTGTGAGGGGTGACTATAGGATTTTTTTGATATTTTGTGGGTGATTGCTATTTTGCACTGATCACTGCCTTAGCCTATACTTTAAGTGCCGCTGTAATGAGAAAAGTATGATGGTATCCTATTGTTGAAGCCACCATTGAGGATGTTAGTTTCTAGGCTGACATGCCAATGCTTTGGCTTCAATACTTCTGAGTCTCTATCCCAGAACAATTATTGACGTAAGAAATTCTGACACTTTTCTGATCCTCTTTCACAGCATTCTTGTTCTACTTCTGTGACTCAAAAGTACTGAATTCCTACAGTCAGACAGCTAGCATTTTCAAGAGAGACCCAGCAATGGCAGTCCTCATACTTTTCTCATGAAAGAGTTACTTCAAGCCAATGTTTTTCTAACTTTAGCCAAAATGGAATTTTCTCTTTGTATTTATATTAGATTTGTAAAGAAGAGAAATCGAAGAGGTCATCTCCTTTCCTTCATATATTTTTTCCTCTCCAATTATAACAGACCGTTGCATAACAGATAACACAACATATTTAGAAAAAGTTGATCTGACTATAACTTGTTCATTAAATGCAGTATAAAGAGAAGCGTGTCACTTCAGAGGAATCTTTTTTCCCTTCAAAACGATTCCCTTCATAAAAAAAAAAAAAAAAAAAAAAAAAAAAAAAAAAAAAAAAAAGACTAAAAAGTATATTATATGCAACTAGGAAATTGTATATACATCAGGTGTGCTATTAGGAAGAGTTACCACCTTTCCAACTACTGTCTATCAGCTTCAAAGTAAAACTAGAAGGATATTACGGGTGTAGAGTCTGATTTCAGGGTGTGCTGCTATGCTTGTTAATTTACATACCAAAGCAAGGAGAATGTGATTTCCAATATAAAAATAAAATCCATCTAGAGACACATGAAAAACTTCAAACATTCACTGATTCCCCAATGTTCCAGTCATCATTTCAAACCTTGACTACAACAAAGGCTCAGATAACACTTGTCCTTGACATTAGCCTAACGGATCTTTCTGACACAAACTACTTTCTAGTACATTCTGCTAACTGTATCAACTGGCAAGGCCGATTAAAATAGCATGTATATCCATCTGTTACATGAGAATGAAATTTCAACATGCATAACTTCCATACAATTCTGAAATATACCCTGTAACCTATTGATAATGGTCTGAAAGTTAGATGGCCCCATGTTTTCAATTTAATATAGAGATCTATATGATAGCTTGTTTGAGGGTCAAGTTCACCATTTTAACTTGTTAAATAGATATTTTTCCCCCAAATCTGGAAAAAAAAAACTATGAAGCATTGCAGCTCTGCATGCTGAGCATTAAACATCTGAAATGAGCATATAGTAGAACAAATTTCTTTGTGTGCTTATATTTTCTTTTATTGCTATTCCCACCTGAGCTGTGGATCTCTGCAGCTCCTTCAGAGTTACCATGGGCCTCTTGGCTGCTTCTCTGATTAATACTCTCCTTGCTCGGCCTGTCAGTTTAGGTGGATGGCCATATCTTGGTAGGTTTGCCATACTTTTTCCATTTTTGCATGATGGATTGAACAGTGCTTGGGTTTTTTTTTTTTTTTTATAACCTAACCCTGCTTTAAACTTCTCCACAACTTTATTCCTGACCTGTCCAGTGTGTTCTTTGGCCTTCATGATGCTGTTTGTTCACTAATGTTCTCTAACAAACCTCTCAGGGCTCCACAGAACAGCTGTTTTTATTTTGAGATTAAATTGCACACAGGTGTTTACTAATTAGGTGACTTCTGAAGGCAACTAGGGGTGTCAGAGTAAAGGGAGCTGAATACAAATGCACTCCACACTTTTCAGATCTTTATTTGTAAAAACATTTTAAAAACCATTTATCATTTTCCTTCCACTTCACAATTATGTGCCACTTTGTGTTGGTCTATCACATAAAATCCCAATAAAATACATTTACGTTTTTGGTTGTAACATAACAAAATGTGGAAAACTTCAAGGGGCATGAAAACGTTTGTACATGCACTACTATATTGCCAAAAGTATTGGGACACCTGCCTTTACACGCACATGAACTTTAATGGCATCCCAATCTTAGTCCATAGGATTCAATACTGTTGGCCCGCCCTTTACAGCTATAACAGCTTCAACTCTTCTGGGAAGGCTGTCCACAAAGGTTTAGGAGTGTGTCTATGGGAATGTTTGACCATTCTTCCAGAAGCGCATTTGTGAGGTCTGGCACTGATGTCGGACGAGAAGGCCTGGCTCGCAATCTTCACCCTAATTCATCCCAAAGGTGTTCTATTGGGTTGAGGTCAAGACTTTGTGCAGGCCAGTCAAGTTCCTCCACGCCAAACTCGCTCATCCATGTCTCTATTGACCTTGCTTTGAGCACTGGTGTGCAGTCATGTTGGAACAGGAAGGGGCCATCCCCAAGCTGTTCCCACAAAGTTCGGAGCATGAAATTGTCCAAAATGTCTTGGTATGCTGATGCCTTAAGAATTCCTTTCATTGCAACAAAGGGGCCAAGCACAACCCCTGAAAATCAACCCCAAACCATAATCCCCCCTCCACCAAACTTTACACTTGGCACAATGCAGTCAGGCAAGTACCGCTCTCTTGGCAACCACCAACGCCAGACACGTCCAGCAAATAGATAGACAGAGAAGCATGATTTGTCACTCCAGAGAACACGTCTCCACTGCTCTAGAGTCCAGTGGTGGAGTACTTTACAACACTGCATCTGAAACTTTGCATTGCACTTGGTGATGTAAGGCTTGAATGCAGCTGCTCAGCCATGGAAACCCATTCTATGAAGTTCTCTATGCACTACTGTTGTGCTAATCTGAAGGCCACATGAAGTTTGGAGGTCTTTAGCTATTAACTCTGCAGACAGTTGGTGACTTCTGAATGCTTCAGCATGCGCTTACCCCGCTCTGTCATTTTACGTGGCCTACCACTTCGTGGCTGAGTTGCTGCTGTTCCCAGTTGCTTCCACTTTGCTATGATACCACCAACAGTTGACTGTGGAATATTTAGTAGCATGGAAATTTGACGGATGGACTTTTTGCACAGGTGGCAACCTATCAC